GGGCAGTCGCCTGCACCAGGGGGTCCCCCAAGTCCTCATTGTGATCACCGATGGGGAATCCGATGATGTGAAAGATCTCAATGCTACAGCCAAGGCCTTGCGAGACAAAGGCATTCTAGTCCTGGCTGTGGGGATCGCTGGTGCTAATCCTGTGGAGCTGCTGGCCATGGCAGGATCGAGTGACAAGTACTTCTTCGTGGAAACTTTTGGAGGCCTGAAAGAGATATTTTCAAATGTGTCAGCCAGTGTGTGTAGCTCTTCACAAGTAGGTAAGGTTTGCCAGTTAAGTTTTCTTAATTATCAGCAGAGATCCAAAGGAGGGAGAAAGCAATAGCCCTCAGGAGCCAAGTTCTCCAACCAGGAGAGAAAGTGCACCGATTGCTTTGTAGGACCTCCCATGTTATAGAGTCTCAGGGTTGGAAAGACCTCAAGGACATTTCATTCGGCCTCCTCCCCAAAGAGAAACACCTTCTACAGCATTCCTACTCGCTTCTGTTTAACTCTTCTACTGATAGGAATTCACCGTTTTGTTTTGTTTTTGTTAAGCTTTATTTATTGGGACACAAATTTGTTTTCATGTCATTTCTACCCACTAGTTCTTCCTACTTTTTACACAAGAAATCAAATTCCATCTCTTCCTAACAACCACGAATCATTGCCTGAAGTCTTCTCTCCACCAGTCTTGAAGTCCCCAGTTCCTTCTCCTATTCCTATAATGGCACAAGCTCGTTAATAAAGATTCTGTTCCAGCCTCAGCTGTTTCCAGAGCAGAGTACAGTAGGGCTTCTTTTGCTCTGGATGCCATGTGTCTATTCTGGCATCTGGAGATTGCACTGCCACATTTATGTTTATGTTCATTCATTCATTCATTCATGCATTCAACTGTCATTTTACACTGTTTCAAAGGGAGATTGTGGTCTATTAAAATTATTTTTATTAAGATGTATTGTACTAAAAATAGTAAGTATTTGTATTACATGAATTTGCTATTAGTCTAGGATTCCAATACCTTGGTTCTGTTCTTTTTAAAAATTAACTTTTCTGGCTTTCATGTGTTGCCTCCTTAGAATGCAACTACTATCTTTTTCTTTCACAAAACTAACAAAATCTTTCTGGATCTTACTGAAAATTGGGACAAATCTCTTACCTTCTGGTGGCCTTCTATCTGTCCTTTTCAAGTTCACTGTAGAAGTTGACATTGTATTTTTATATGGAAAGTTCTCCCTTGGGCAGAAAACAAGTAGTTTATTCCCTTTATGTGAATCTGAAACAAAGGACTTTAATAAGTTAACCAATTCCTGAAGGATTTATTTATCACATTTCTTTTGATCTTTTTTTGCTTATCTCGACTGGGGAACTCTCAGACACCTTTAATCTTTCCTGAGGCGAAAATGAGAATTAAGTGAGTTAGGTCAGTGGTGAGATCTCTGGGGCAGTCAAAGAAATGTTAATGTTTACCAGAAAGCTAAG